AACTATACTATACTGATAAAAATATAACATTATATTTTGATAATTTATAATATATCCAATTATGTAATAACATATTGGTTCGCAATTTTTTTTTAAGTAGATGAATATTTTAGCATCTCAACACACAATTACACATTCTGTTGACTTATTTTCGGGACTTAACGTGACGCAAATTTCAAGTAAATAAAATAAATGTACTCGTATGTGGGTGCTATTTGCCTGAAATCGTGTTGTTTTCAGTACCGAAAATAAACTTTACGTAAAAACTAGAAGGTTCAAAATCAATAAATTAATTAGTTAAATATTCATTTGGCATAGATACTATTAATACTAAATTAAATGTAGTTTCAGAATACATATACGAGTAGTTATGTATAGAATGATGAAAGTTTCAGACTGCATGGTGGACTGGTCCGAAATACAGCTCGTTCTGTATTCTGAACGTGAACGCTCGAATTTCCAAAAGCATGTAGTTCTCACATCCAAGAACTTGCAGTTGGAAACTATCGATTTTATATATAGGTGAAGGCACAAAATGACATAAAAATTTACATTCGTTTACCACATACACGCACTGTTCTATATTTCCATAAAAAGGCAGATCTTTATTTTTAAATATATAAGATATAAATTTAAAATTTGAGAAATAAAAAAACCTATTTAACTATTGATTAAACTTAGTATGAGACTAATAATCATTAGAGTAACTTTTTCGATTATAAAAACAATTATTAAAATCGAGTCAGAATTTGGCAAAAATACAGCGCACCAAAAACTGGAGTCCAATTGACAATCTCATCTTTTTTTCAGTTGACGTATATATATATATGGAATGAAAAGAATATTATAATTTTGTTTTTGTTTTAATAGGTAATAAATTAAGAATACCCACACTAATATTTTTATCCACATGTTTTACTAACATAATTTTATTACGGCGGTGATTTAATTTAATTTACATGTACAAGGTTTTGTCACAAATAACAAAGAACAGCCCGGAACCAGTTTAAGCCGGTTTAAACTGAACAAATCTGTTTAGGAACGGGGCGCAGTCCTGGCACGTCTACGGCTGCTTAGAGCTCGGTAAATTGCATGTATACCAGTATTATTTAAACCTTTTTTGCGTTTCATTTGTATGTGGAAAATATCATGTAATAATATCATTATTTTGTCTATTATCCTTACTCATAAATGTGTAAATGGGATTATTTGTTTGTTACAGTTATATAAATGTTTCAATCAATACTCATTAAAGTCATAAACGTTGCATTCGGTATGGGAAAGGTTTTATCCTGTTAATGTGGACGAAATCGCGTTTACAAATATCATTATGTCATCTTTATTAAAATTATAAATGTGACAGTGACTATATATATATATATATATATATATATATATATATATAACCATTTGAGGCCTTACCATAAATGCTCAACCAGTAGTAATGAAATTGGGTAAATAGTATTTAATATTAAGTCAAGATATGGTGTGTTTGCGAATCGAATTTCAACCAAAATTTCAATTTCATTTTATGCAAACATATTTACAAACTTTCATATTTATAACTTACTAATATGGTACGATTTTTTAATGACTAAATCCAAGTATAATTGTAGTGAACTGCCTTGGTATTAAACCATATCCGGCTCAATATATTTTTATATAAAAAACCACTATAAAAATGTAGCTAATAATAACGCATAATCGTTAAAAAGGTGGAGAGGTAATTTCACTTAACAACGTATTTAATTATGCGTCAACAAGAAATATAACGGCGCTCGTAAAACAAAGGTGTTCAACGGAGTAGTGCCGTATTTACGGCTTACTTTTAATGGCTTCACTATACTTTACAGCGACACAAAATTTATATCATATCTCTACTTAGATAAAGTATAAAATACACTGCACTATCTCTGGACACTTTCTTATACAATTTATATTTCTATTATTATATTTGCAATTCATTATATTTAGGGATTTACAATGTCATGTTAAATCTATGCGCGTATTAGAAATTATAAGTTAGATTTTTATTGGTTTCAATCAAATGTTATTAGGTAATCATATTTTGTAATTAGATTTCTTTCATGATATGTACAAAATATGGGTATTTCACATTTCACACCACGTGCTGTTTGGACTATCATATTCTTTATTTCTTTTTATTGTTCTAAATGTTAGTATGTTAGTTAGTATGTTAAAATTTTATAACAAAATCTTAGGATGCCAACATAATATACAAAAATTATTTTCACTACGGCAGTGACAAAAAATATAAAATATATTTCTTTGAGCATGCGGCTCACCTGATGGTAAGTGACTACCGCCGCCCATGATCACCCACAACACCACCGGCATTGTAGGTGTACTGCCGGCTTTTTAAAAAGGAATATGCTCTTTTCTTGAAGGTTATGATGTCGTATCGGTTCGGAAATACTGCTGCTGGAAGTTGATTCCAAAGAGTGGTTGTGCGTGTAAGAAAGTGCCTTGAAAAACGCACGATGGAAGACCGCCACTTGTCTAGATTGTTGGGATGAAACTTTAGTTTATGGCGGATTGTACGGTGGTGAAAATCTGCAGCAGGTATTAATCCGAACGATTCCTTAGAGCACTCCCCGTGATAAATTCGGTAGAAGATGCACAGAGATGCAACATCTCTGCGCATCATAAATATATGATTAGCCCATTCTATACCAGGACCACACAGCGGTTACCTCTTTTCTTTTCCGTGGGTTTCGTAAGAGGCGACTAAGCGAACTTAATGGTTGAGGGAGGGGTACTAGTGTCCCTCCTAAAACGTCATAAAAGTCTAACTGCTGTTGCCAACCTGCTTGCTAAGCGTGGTAACTACTGGCAAAACCCCCCATAAGGGAGGGAATGGACAGTAAACGGCTAATATGATGATGTACTGTAACCTACTTCATTGAGAAAGATGGCAATTTGCGTACTCGATTTTTCGTCTCGAAATGGAGTGGACGCTATAAAAAAGCAACAAATCATCGACTTCAATCGGATTGCAATTCGTTCTTGTATACTTGAACATTTTTATTACCCTACAGTAGATAATAAAAAACCAAACCACAACCGTATTATTTCCACAATCATCTATAAACAACTCATCCAATTAACAATAATTGTAACAATGAAATGTTTACTGTTTTTATTTGAATTTTCCTAAGGTTTCCTCGTGATTGTTGATCTTATAGTATAATATTACAATACAGTAATTTTGTTTGATGAAATGAACAATTACAACGGTTCTGATTGAAATTCTATTATTTATTTTGAACTGCAATATTCTCTTATTTTGTAATGTTATTTCTTTTTTCAATCGATTGATAAAGGAGTTTTCGTGGCTTCGACAAATAATATCATAATTCACTTTAGTTTCGTTACTAGTTTATATACATATTTGTAAGAATTTCGTTAAATATTTATGATACTTAAAATTGAGCAGCCAGTCCATGTAGCGACTTTGATAACAGCTTTAATAGGCTCAGCTTTTGAATGGGGACTACATTAATAACTTGTATGCTTATGTACGACTAGGTTCTTGTGATAGTTTTTATGACCGGCAGCTTAGTGGAGAGCTATTGCGGGTGGGCGTCGTATGGCATGTTACAGTGATTTAAATGGACAGTGAATATGTGTGTCTGTGAATACAAGAGTTAACGACCAGCACACAATGTGGTTAACTTTGAAATAAATGCGTCCAATTCTACAAATAGATTATTTAAAAATTGTCTCTAGCCCCGTATGCTTATTTTATTTTGCGATTTAATACTCTTACTATTTATGAAAACTAAACTAAACTAAGTTATAGTAAGCTAGGCCGTAACTTTGATCGTTGGTACATACAATATATATACTGTATATATATATAACATGGAGTTAGGCGAATTTCTGCTCGATTGACGTTTTAATTTGCCGGTATTCGGTAGAGAGACGTTTAGCAGAACACGGCCTCGTTTCATACGCGACCGACTCGTTCTAAATTCAATTATACGCCGCAAGATGGCGTCAGGTACGTAACAATTATATTGCACTCCGGGCGCAGTTTTATTGTATTTTATTTCATATCTTTAGAAACATGAATTTTTAATTGGATTTTAATCAGGAAGCGCAATTGCGGACTACTGCTGATATAGACTCCGGTATTTGATAGAGGGCATAGTGATATTTGTTTCTTCAATATTGAGTACAGAAGAATGCAGCAAATAAATTATATAATATATAATTATATATTTGATATTTTTGTGCATTATAGGTTTTTGTATTTTATGCACGAAAAATTATTAATTCACTCTTGCGCCACCTGCCCATTTCTATCTGTTCTCCTTTAACCAAAGGTTGTCTGTAAGAGATTGTCTTAGCGATAAGACCGCCTTTTGTACCTTTATGTGTATATTTTCAATCTGTATTTATGTTACTGTATTTCACTTGAATTATTCACTCATCATTGTATATTTTTATTTATGGTGCAATAAAGAGTTAAATAAATAAATAAATATAAAATCGTAAACAATGCAACGTTGTATACAGGAGTGAAATCAAATCCTTCAAAATATAAAGAAGGGAGTTTTGTATCGAAGAAACAAAGCATACTATTTGAAGAAACTTGTGTCGGAAACGATGGAAATATAGAGCTTTCCATACTAATATTACAGTTGGATGCGTTAAGTATTAGTAAGTCTAACCTATAGAGGCATAATTTTTTTATTGTTATTCGATTCAAATTAAACCAATCCTGTACGGAATATAAACACATTATGTAATAACAAACATAAAAGTATTGTAAAATTGAGATAAATAATTATATAAAACGTAATTTAATTCCAAATATAATGTAACTCGAAAAAATCGGAATCAACTACTTTTTATAGTAGTATATTCACTTAAAATCATGTAAGATTGTGGTCTAACGCGCTCAAATTTAATATATATATATATAAAAAAAAAAACTAAATATTGACAAAAGATTAAGTTTTTGTTCTACTTACCTCGTCTTTGCCTTTGACGACGCACATTTTGACGTCATTCTCTGGTGAGTACCAGACTAGGCGGCGTTGCTCCGTCAAGTCTGTTAAACTAAGGTTGTACACCACGTTCCTGTAACAAGAAAAGACACTACATTAGTTAAATATTACTAACATAATAAAATTGTGACTGAACAATGTTTGTAAATGGAAAATAATAAAAAAAATATGAAAGGGGTTAATAAGTTTTAATAGTAGCAATAGAAGTAAAAATAAAAATTTTGTCTGTATGTCTGCATCACATGGTTTACACAGTTGTGTTCTTGAAGATCTAACTTTAAATTAGATGTATGTTTTATCTTATATGCTATTTATAAGTGGTCTATTTCATTGAATTTTCTTCTGAAATGCACGTACAAAAATGCGGGCAAAAAGTTGGCTAAAGATAAAATAATGTAATAAGTACTCCTACTTTTTGTGTTGTAAAATATGTATAAATATATTTTATGTTACGATCATATAGCTCTAGTAACGGATATTCGACCGAGAGAATGCTCTTGAGGTCTGACCTTGTACAAATTACACAGTGCAGGACAAACACTTCACGAATTACTTTACATATTTTTCTACGTTGCAACACCAACCATCTCCTCAAGTGCAGAAGAGGAATCATATCCATTATAAGAGTCCCAATGGACTAACAGCTTCTATGCTAGCAGTACGTATAATTTATTTCGTCGACTTCCTCGCAGTCCTTTTTAAAATCAATCTTGGTGAATTCGACAGAACGGACTAGCTGATCTAACTCTATCATGTTTGCAAACTAATATGTATCAGTGTAAAGAAGTAGCGTAGAAGGAGTTACTGTAAGATTATTATCTCTAAAAACACGGTCTTCTCGAGCGAATGCGTTTAAATGTGATTCCCTCATATTGTTCAGTGAACTTGTTATGAGAGAACAAGCTAATCGTGTGTTTTCCTTTACAAATGTAGTGCAGAGCCAGAAGAATAGGGAACTAAGGGACTAGGAATAGAAAGAGAATTTGGTCGTTTATATTAATATTATAACGAGGAAATATTAGATTGTTTGTCTGTTTGTGTGTAATGGATAAACTCAAAAACTACTCAACCGATTTTAAAAATTATTTCATCAGGAAGCTACATTATCAATATAGCTACGTGAGCTATATATTATTTTTCAACAAATTAGAGATTGCTACTAAATTACAATAATGTAGCTCAAGGTATCAAAATTTTGTCTGTTAATCTTAAGGGCATATAATTTGCTGAGACAGATCGCTACTTTAATATAACTTTATCTGTATATATTTGAACTTTCACGGCAGATTTTCTTCATTCTTCTAAGAAAAATAGAAATTTCTTAAATGTACATCAGACAGCTAGAGTCTGTGATATTAAAATTCACAAAAACAAATCATATAGATACTTTAAATATAGTAAAAACTTTTCATGATATATCGATTAAAAAAAAAAAATAGAACCGATAAACTCGAAGTTGTAACAAGTCGTCACCGCATAATCTAAACTGTTGGACGTGATATGGACCACTTAACAACAACTTTTAGGTCTATTTCCAACTTTAACTTTCAGGTGGTAGGGTCTATTTTATTTTAGATGTATTCATGAGCTGCTTCATAGTTGTTAGTTGAATGTTTGTTCGTGGTTTTAATCGTTCTTGGAGTTGGGCATTTCAGGTGAACTTTGTTAGAATGAGCGCCCGCATAGGTTTTGCCGCAACACGACATTTGTCGTGCGACTTTTGCATCTATTTGCTGTTTTGTGTAATAGTAAATTGGTATACGTAATTTATATTAATCGGTTCAAAATAATTTTAAACTGTTCAATATTTCCGTTTTAATGCAAGAGTCTACCAGAAAACGTTGCTAGATAAAGAAAAATGGCCACTGCAGTCGTTATTATATCAATATGAAACCAACACGGGAGTATGTAAATTGCAAAAAGAATTACTAAAATCGGCTTAGAATTAGTGATGACAAAATATAATGTACACACATAAAAATACAAAATAATTGCTGTTTCTTTTTTTTTTGGTATTTGCTTAAAACTGTTCCAGTATTAGTATCATTTCAAAAAGTTTAAATGATATCAAATCGCTAGATTACAAAAAAATTATGCTTTCGCTAATTCTATGTCATTCTCAGTGATTAATTTTTAATTGTAAGGGTTAATCCTAGACTAATTTTATTATAATTGAAGGGTTTTTTTTCTGAAACAAAATCTTAAATTAAGTAGGTGTATTAGAACAAAACGGACTAAGACAATTCACAATTCTCGGGGGCATACCTGCGCAACGCACCTAACTGCGAAAGCCGCCCTCAACCCTTAATTAAGATATTTGGCACGAAAATTTCATAAAGAAATTATGACGTAAACTTTCTCAATTATAACGCAACGAATAGCCGGTGTGACTTACATAATGTTTTTGAGATTTAACAGACAAACTTTAGCCAGACTCTGTTGGCGGGAATTTAATTTGAATTGATATTACAATAGAGCTGTTAAATTGCGTTTTCTTACGAGTTTTCATAGCTGTTCACTGTCTCGCTTTAGTATTGATAATTATTTATTATTAGATTTAAAAAATAACAAGGTTTTAACTAAAATAAATGAATGAATGAAATAAATAAATGTGAGAAACGTTGTAAAAGACTACATAACAATAAAAAAAAAATCTACGATACATATGTGGAGATGAAAAAAATCGATAGTTCTAATTTTAAAATTTGTTATTTCATAATATCATAGACAAGAATAAATGTATGTAAATGTGTAATTCATTTGTATTGTGTGACATTTGTTATATTATTGACTTGTTATGTATTTGTTTTTGTTTAGTTTGTATTTGTATTTATTTAGTCTGCTACCATTAGTATGTGTGCGGCTGCCAATATTTATGGATTGATCCTTGTAGGCTATTAATATACGTAAACCACTAAATTATAATACTAAATTTGCATGCCTTTAGATAAGGCGAAATGTGTAGATCTATTATATTTAAGACCATTATTATAACCACATTTCTAGCAAATAAATAAATTATTATTTTATTATTATTAAAAAAGTAGTCACTTTAATCACGGCAAAGTTAATATGGAATTAACATCTTTAGTTTATTATAATAGTTTTATGGGGTTTCATTAGATTCATCTTAAATGTGGTAGCACTATTTGTTTTTTGTTTAAATCCTACTATAAAAAAAACACAATGAAATACTGCGGTTAGAATACTAAAAGTGTAAATAAATAAATTTTGTCTATAGACCAAATTTCCTTAATCAAGTTCATTTTAATAAGTGTTCAGATTTTGTATTTGTAGTGGCGTGTAGTTCGTAAATCTGAATAAATTGCACCATAATTCTTTAAGTCTCGCAAAATTAAATTCTTGGGTGCTATTATTCCGTAAATAAAGTAGGTGCCTATTCATGTTCGACGTCCTGTATGCGAATAATGCATTTCTCTCGTCTCCCGGGGTGCTCCGTAATTTGGCAAGGTTAGATACGAGGGGAGCCAATTTGTGGGAATCGGGTGTCGTGTATTTTATATGTTAACAGTTTTTTATTAGGCAACGAAGTGGCATGATGCAATCAAGATAATTCTACCAATATAGTCTGTATTCAGGGAAGGCAAACTATATTATTCTATATTGTTTTTATTCGACGATTTGTTTGTAACTCGTTTAGGCATAATTTTTGTTGATTTCATTTAGCAATATAGAATTTTCATGGTATAATTGATAAGCTAATAAATAATATATAAATACATAAATCCTCAATAAAAAATATATGTTTATCACAAGTATATATATATATATATATATATATATATATATATATATATATAATAAAATTTTGATTGAATAATAATATATATATTTTATTTATTTTTCAATAAAAATTTTTCTAAAGCAATATTAATAATTATTAATAAATAATATTAATAAGGTGACATATGAATTTGAATTTCTAATTATGTTAAAGTTTGTATTTATTAAAACATAAGTAAACAATAGAAAGCGACTCAGCTTTTCATAGACAAATCTTTGTAGAAGAAAAGTTACGACACAATTTCAAACTAACTCTTGACATAAGTCTGGCCGAGATTGAAAATTGAATATTCCCTTGACGTGGTCCCTCGCATTTGTTGTTTCATTTGGTACTTATAAGTTTAGAAAAGTTTATATACTTTTTTGATGAGTATAGGACTTTAGATCTTATACCTCAAAAGCGTTGGATCTCGAAAACAGGACAAAAAACGGTCGGTTAAAAGTGGCTTTTAGGTAGCGGATATATTTGAAAACAAAGTGCGCCATCTTTCAATATTGTAAGTATTTCGATTAAAATTCCCAGATTAGATGGATTTTTTTTAATAAGAACAGAGAACTTTTTAATTATATTAAATATTAATTTAAACACTGATATTATAAATTAATAATCGACGCATTAATGGAGACTACGTTTAATAATTCTTACACTAATAGGTATTCAAAGTATATATTTAGATAATGATAGAAATAGTGAATAGATTGTGAAGACAAGTATCACGATAAATGCCCGTCTATTAAATTTATAAATATAGACATAGATATTGTATTGTTTTTATTTTCAACTTTACTGTAGGTACCCATATAGTTTTTTTTATATACTAAGTAATCTGGTATTACTTAGTATATAAAAAAAACTATATTCATCCATACAAAAATAAAAAAAATTAACTGTTTAAGGAAAGCATTTATATTGAAACATGCTATCTCTGGATATACTCATATTCTTAAAATAGTCATAATGTTGAACTTAATAATATTTTATTACGTATTTTGTAATATCTATATATATTCGTAACATAATTTCGGTGCGGACAACCATTGGCCCAAGGAACAGCACAAAGCCAGTATCCTTTGTCAATTACGCGCTCCAGTGATTCCCGCCAAAAGGCGGCGGCCATCTTGGTGTGTGCGACGGATCGTCAGCGCCATCTATTGTTCGGACGTTCGCTCATGTTTTTGTTGTGTTCTCTTGACCGATTCGGGTCGTCAGCCGCTCTCTGATTGATGGTCCAAAGTTACAATTATTTCCATGTCTTCGCCGCGATTATT